TGTTTGACCTCAGCATACATCAGACTGTCCTCTAAAAGAGACGTCAGAGCTCAGGACACATTTGTTCAGCACAGATATGATACAAAGATGTTGGATACATGTGAACATTTAAACTTTTTACAACTACAGTGAAAGAAATGAGAGTGAAATTATTTGTTGCCTGTGACACTTCAGCTTTGCATGTGTATGTTTTGTGATTGAGGTCTGGGTCAGAATCTGTGGATGCTGTGATTCAGTAAAGCTGAAACACTGATTAGTAAGTGAATAACTAAACTCCATGTTGACCTATAATTACCTGCAATATAATGATGTGATGACACGTTCAAGTACAAACACTGAATGAGACTGTTGTGACTGTACCTGCAGCTCCCGTCTTCACCTCACAGTAAACAGCACTCTGCTCTGCTTTATGATGCTTCCCTGTTAAAATGAGCAAATAAACAAATTAAAGTCATTAATTTTGAAGCAAAACACTTTCTAACTTCTCTTTTCCATTTTGAAAAAATAAACAAATAAATTCAAATAATTATTTATTTTTAAAAATAAAAAAAAATCTATATTGTTTTTGACACTCACTCTGTTTTCTGATGTTTTTAAATTCAATAAGAGCATATGTGACATCTTGGGGTTCATCTGCACCTGGAATGTAAAAATGTTGCAAGATCTAACAAAGAAACAGCAATCTGTTTCTTTGTTAGATCTTACATGCCTTTCAAAATATAGAAAAAACTGTATTTGATTATTTTCAGTGTTGACATGCATATTTAAAAATAAGTGCAAAAACAGAAGAAAATTTCTGTGGTGCTGTGTGATCAGATATTTTCAGAGCATAAATCCATCATGGTCTTACTGTTTGTGTTGTTCTGATATGAAACAATAACATTTGTGGATTCTTTCAGTCGAGTTAAAGATACAATCAGGTTGTAAAATCCTGTTTGTTTCTGATCTTTTGTGCATGTAGTCAGTTGGTTATTTGGATGTTTGTCCAACTGGATTTTGATAAATGTTCTTTGAAAAACTGCTGAGCACAAACTGAACCTAAGAAATGTTCATGTTAATGGAGACTGAATGAAAAGTCAATATTAATAATGATAATAAAGACGGATTAAATACTGACCAGGATGAAGAGAGTTGTAGTCATGAGTTTCATTCTGGTTGACTCCATGATTCGTGGAGGAGCCCGGACTGTGACTCTCAGACTGGATCGACCTGAAACATGAAATAAACACAATAAACTCAAAAGTAACTGATGTTTGTTTAAAATAATAATAAAAAGTATTTTACCAACCTGGTGAAGCAGGAATCTGTGAAAGAGACAAATGTTATTACACATGTTTGTGATGTAAATTGTTCTATCAGAATACATATATATGTGTGAATAATTAAAGTGTATGCAGTAAATAAACTCTCTAATACAGCATGAAAAGAAGAGGCTCTTACACTTGGACTGTCTGCAGCGATACAACAAGAGCAGGAGAATAATAATGAGAGAGACTCCACAAACCAGTCCAACAATCAACCACACAGGAGATGAAGAGCTGTCAGCTCCTGACACAGTTACTGTAACAACAAACAATAAAGCTTAATTATATTTTAAATTTCATGACGTGCTTTTATAAAAAAATATCTTGAAAAAAATCCAGTTCATCTATTTCCCTCGAATAGAAATCACTTTGAATCCACTCCTGCTGTGTTTAAATGACTTGACTCCCCACAATAAACTCATCAACACAATCCAGTCTCTTAAATTTCCTCTTAAATGTTGACTTCAGTAAATCTGCTTTACAAACTTTTACTATATAAACATGTCAAA